CTTTCCAGATCGAAGCCTGGCTTTTCTCCATTTTTTCCAGCCAAGCACTATAGTCAGGAGTGAGGCTAGGGCTAGACCTGAAAGCCCTAACACCCCTATTGAAGAAGCGAAGATCGATTTTCTCCTTAGTGGGATCTTCATTATCCTCTGCATCTTTCTTAGAGCATCCAACAGGTTTGAGCTTTTCGAGCACTGGAAAGAAGCTTTTGATCTTCATGGCTTCATCGATGCTTGGGTTGAGCGGGCCAGACATGGCGAAGATTTGGTTGGAGTATCCAACCGGAATCATGAGTTGGCGTGAGTAAGCGTCACGTTCAGCAATGTCTAAGGGCTCAGGAACCCTTCGTTGGCCTGTAGGAGTAACTACGGGAGCAGTGGAGAAAATCTTGGGTTTAGCATTTCCAGAGGGGATGTTAGAACTAGGAGCGGTGGAGGAACCAGACGCCATTGTTGATGTTAAGGTTGAAGATGAAGTGTTGTTTGCAAAGTTTGCAGAGAGTTTGTATTCAACAAGGAAGTCTGAAGGCAAGATAGCGTGAAAAAGTCCCGAAATGGGTACTTGGCGCTATTTATAGTAGTTGGGAAATCCCCAAGTTCGAGGCCATTTAATGCCATTTAATGTTGCAGAAAGTAGTGGGACACGTGGCGTCCCCCTGTTGACATAGTCGTTCTGCAGAAATGAAAGGGTGCAGCGTGCGCCCTCGTTTTTGGGAATTGTCATGATGACAATTTGTGAAAAGACATTTGGCACGCTGCACGCCGTACTGAGGTGACGTCTTAGGTACGGATGAAATGATGGCTTTTTCTTGGGATTGTCAGTGGTTGGTAGAAGACAAAAAGTGCACAATTTAATTTGTGACTAAGAGTGAAAAGATAGGTGTCGAATGGAATTTCAAAGAATGCCTTTTTCTTTTCAGAGTCGAAATAAGGCATTCTTGGGGGGCAATTTGTTGGCTCCTAAATTCGACACCCTTGTTTTTATTAATATCAGCCATTAAAGCTGAAAGATGGTTTCGACCAGCTGGGTCTGTCGAAATGCCCATCAGAAGATGGCAATGTACTTAGAGAATTTCTTCCAAAGGAGAATTTGGTTGCCTTCGACGTCGAAGGTGTGGCTCGTCGAAGATGCCTCTCGACGAAGGTGTTCGATTGCTCAGAGTGGGATGGTTTGAAATTCAAACGTTTGGAGGGAAAACGGTTCCCAGCGGTTACCAAGTGCAACGTGCAAAGATCTGGAGCGTCGAACACTTAGAACGTGCCAAGTGGAGTCATCTCGAAGCAGTGTAACTGCCCGATGGTTACTTGGGATGTTTAGTATAAATATTAGTAGTTCACGTAGTTTTTCGCGTGTGTTCACAATTATATACAAGTCACTCATATAGATTCGAGTACCCAGCGTGTGAGAAAGAATTGTTGAGAATGTATGTGTGAAACACAACTTTTATTAATCAAAGTCATTTATTTTCCAGAAACTTTACTTGCTTTCTCCTTTACTTTTCCTGTCGAAAACCTTTATTTCAAGCCTCCCTTTATTTTATCAAGTTCTCTTCTTCATGCAATTTACATAAAGCTTCTTTATTTTCTTGTCATTTAACCATTGTCAAACTTAATCAAAACCCCAAAATCAACCATGTCTTAGGATCAATCTGATCGATCCTGCGAGTAACCAAATAAGTAACCATTTAGAAGATCAGCGGTTGTTTACCAAAACCAACGGTAAACACCCGTGTGTTATTGATAAGTTTCATACGTCCAAATGTGTTAAACAAGAAACATATAACAAGTTGGAATCAAGCGTGTGAAGAGAAGGGAAGAGGTTCGAACCCCAGCGATGCCAAAACCCTTTTTACTTTACTTTCTTCATTTTCTTTTTTATTAGTTATTTTATTATTAATTAATTTTTTTAATCAAAACTTATACATAAAAACACCTGAAAGAAGCCATATAATAAAATCAACAAAAAATTAGTTTTATGGTGTAAATTAATTAATTAATTTTTTGGACAATTAGATTTTAGGCTTTTTATTAATTAAAATCAATTAGAATTAGAATTTTAATTATTATTAATTAACACTTAAATTATTTTCATAAAACACCAAAATTATGAACTTTGATTTTTAGGACATTTAAACTTTTTCCCCAATATTTTCTTATTCTTTTTGCTATTTATTTTCTTAGACAATTGTATAGGTCGCATAGTTTAATGTAATAGTTTAGATTTATATTCCCGCATTTTTCTAATTGTGTAACTCTCCCAAAGTCCTGTAATAGCCTATATTTACATTCTTACTTTATATATATATATATATATATATATATATATATATATATATATATATATATATATATATATATATATATATATATATATATATATATATATATATATATATATATATATATAACTGCTAGTAAATAGGCTTGTATGATAAGAATACAATCAAACATAGATAACCTTAATTTTCAAGATAACATAACTGAAACCAATACACTTTGCACACTTCACCTCTACGATAACCTCTCTTCATTGCCTTGCGATACTAATGGTCACGTCCTACGAAAATGCGAATACTTTAGCAAAGACCCTCGGTTAAACAATATCATCATGGCCTCTTTCGAATAAAGATCATAATCCCTCGATGACCACTAGAGTTGCCTACAAAATAATCTAGTCCCTTCGATGACCCTACGAGAAAAATGATGATAGTCCCTTCGAATTGCTAAAAGTATTCTTACATGTTGCCTTCTATGATCATACGACGACCCTACGCCTGTTCCTTCACATCCAATAGATAGGGCTACCTACCAACTAATGGTGTGGATAGTATTATCTTTAACGGTGAAGGAAAATAACAAGAACGACTTTTAGTGGGTAAGACTCAACAAATTGCTTGCTCATAACAGTTTCAAACAAACAAATTCATTTTTACACCTCACGTATCAAAACAAATATTTAAAAAAAAAACACTTTATAAACATTCTTGAGGACTTATACAAGAATTATTACAAAGTCTGTCTCACAATTGGCATTCAAAATATTGACACACACACAAAGTAAGTTTAAAGTGAGTTGAGCAATTAAGAGCCCGTAGATAACTACGGATGAAAAAGGTGTTAACACCTTCTCTTTTCATAACTTATCCTCTGAACTCAAAATCTATCAAAGATCTTTCTTGTTCTTTTCACATTTTCTTATTGGATAAAAGAAAAATCGGTGGCGACCTTTGCTATCCGCAACATTTACGATAAAACACTAAACAAGTCAGTTTTTCCACCGTACTACAATACCCATATCCTAATCCGCCTAACTTTCTGAGACTTGGGTGACCCGATTCTCTGAGCTTTATCCAAACCAAAACATTTGTATTCTTTATTCTTGCATCAAATAATAAGATGACATATATTTTAGAATAGACGGAATATTTGATATATCGATTTTATTCTCAATTATAAAATTCTTAAAAAACATTTATTTGTTTTTAAATATAAGTTAAATACAAGGTCTATTTCAAACTGATAAATATATTTCTTATGCTATTCTAGCTTTGTCATTTTTTGGTGCTAGAATCACATGGTGCTGGTCTTGGGTATATTCGATTGTGAGCTCTTTGTATAAATAACGCCTGCATTAGTATATACGATATATTTCCATTTTCAATACAGGTTAAAGCCTCTCTGAGTCACCTTCACAAGCTTTAATTATAAATTGGGTATCACAAGTCACAACTCTAGAGCTAAGTAGAACTAATTAACATAGATGAAAGATTCTCTAAAGTTTTTACACTTTTATATATCTTCTCTTGAATCCAACTTAAAAACATTTGACAAGAACTTAAAACATCTTAAAGTACGAGAAATTTTTCATTTCATCTAAACATCCAACTTAAAAACATTTGACAAGAACTTTTAAATTATCACAATATTCTCAACATCAAAAAATACTTTAGAAAAGGGACATTTTAGCTTTTAAAGTTAGTAGAATCAATCTGTTTAATCATTCAAATTTATGAAATAGCAATTCAATCTCTTAAAAGACATCTTGACTTAAATAAACATTTTATACGTAAAATTAAACAATCTAAAACCTTTAGAAATGTACAAAATTTGAGAAAATAACTAAATTAATTTATATTTTTTAAATTATAAGATTAAATGTTATGTAGCAAATGTTAGAGACTAAAATGAATAAGGTTTATAAGGTTTTTTGTTTTAATTAGGTGACTATATAAATATAAAGGCTTACTCAAAACTTAAAAACATTTATTTCATATTATTTTTTGAGGGATTTTTTTTTTTGAAAACATCTCTTTCACAATTTAGTTAAACCATGTCACACATATTTTTAGTTGTGACATTTAATGTTAATTATACAATAAATTTGAATAAATTTTTTAACAGGTAATATTAAATTAAAATCTTGCTTTTTGGATTTCACCAAGTAACGTTATACTCTTAATTTCATCAAATCAGGTGATATCTTCGTAGGATAATGACACTATTTTTTAGCTCAAGATTATGACACTTAAATATATAGAGTTTGTTTTTGAGCTAATAGTATTTTCATATTTGACTAATCAATTTTTTTCTCAATTAATTATCAATTCTTTTTGCAATTTACATTTCTTTAATTAATGCTTAAATTTATTTAAATAATAGAATGTTTATAAAAAAATAACAAAAATAAAAATATCTATATTTTATTTATTAAAATAATTTCAAAATGAAAATAAATATTTTTTATGCAAAAAAATAAATCATTGAATTTTTATTATATATTTCCCTAAAATGCTCATACACTACCCTGAATATGTGCTACAGTCTACATTCAATTGTTGTTGGTAAAGCCTGCAATCAATTAATTGTTAAACAAAGACATGTAATATTTATTTATAGCAATAAGCAATATATTCAAAACTCAATTGCTTATATATAAATGTACCATAAGAGATCATAGCTCAATAACAAACATACCAACCCAAAAAAATTGTCATCAAAATTATATGAAGATCAGTCAAAATGAGATTGTGGAGGAGAATGTCTCAAATGATACTCCGACTGATTCAGACGACGAAAATCACAACCGGAGAGTGGTGAAAGTGGTGTATAAGGCGTTATTACGCGACAGTGGCGAGACAGAGAAGCTATCAAAAGTGGTAGGGAAAGAATTGGAATGGAGGTACCATGGACCTCCTCATTGCCAACACATGATGAAAAAGTTGACCGGCGAGTCAACACAGAGGAGCTTCAAGTTTAGGCCAAGGAGAATGAGGAGTGTTAAGGGTGACCGTTTGATTGTTGAAGGATGGGAAGATGTAGGGGAGTATTGGGTGCATGTGTGGAGGGTGAAGGATGGGATTATTACTCAATTGCGTGAATATTTCAACACTTTGTTAACTGTGGTTTCTGAGGAGAGTAATGAGGTTAGGGTTTGGAGGAGCACTCCTTGGGCTAGAGTTCAAGGGTCTTTGCCAGATCTTGTGCTTTCCATATAAATCATATGATATGTGAAAAATACTATGATTGGAGTGGGTGGAAATAAAAGTGTATTTTCTAATACATCATGTAAACATAAAAGTTTTTGATGTATTTTCTTAATTTGAGACTTTGCACAACGGTGAGATACCCTTGTCTCGTGGGACCTCGTCCCTAAATAGTTTTCTAAAATAATCTTTATAAGTATAATTCAAGTATTTAATATGTCAAGCTTGCAAATTTTTGAAAGATTAGCTTAAGTTTGACGGATAGTTGAGTTACTAATCTAAGAAAAACGGATTTGGATCTCTTAAGCGGTAATTTCAGCCGTTAAATTATATTTTATGTCTAGCTACTTTTTTAAATTATTATTTTTTTCTTGATAGGATTTGGAGCAGGATAGAAGCTGAATGAAAACAACACAAGATGATTCATTCTAAAGAAAAACATAAAAATAAAAGAAAATAAAGAAGATAAAGTGAATAACATAGAATGATTGGTTGATAGATTGATCGCATGTTTTTGAAATTTATAAAATGTGGAGTTTGTAGAGAAAATTGTTATATTAATTACACTAAAAAATAGGACAATTGTGGCCATAAAGCATCATTTCCTTGATTAAATGTTGTCTCATTCAATTATTTATGTGAGTATTGCACAATCGTTCTTTCCATTTTGAATATGTAAGAAACATAAGAAAGGGGAGTTTGAATTGGGTTGCACCATATATATAATCTTTTTGTAACTCAACCACAAAGATAAAGAGTGAATAAAAATAGATGAACACAACTATTTTTATATTGGTTTATTGTTAACTATGTTACTCCAGTCCATCCTGCAATGTAATATTCCTTATACACAAGGACTTAATCCACTATAATCAACCAGATTACAGACAACTACAATAAGTCCGATCAACCCTATTGGAACCTCCAATAAGTCTTTTGATCCTTATTGCAAACCACTATGATCCAACCAAAGTCTTCTTCAGAATCTAGACTACACATAGTCTCTCAATGAACCTATCAACAGTAGTTGATTACAAAGATGTGTATACAAAGATACTTCTACACAAACAAATTACACAATGTTTAAGTACAGCAACATAAAAGTGTTGATAGCAAGAAACAAACAAAAACTCCTTGCTTATTTTCAAAACTATACATAGAATTTCTCTAGAGTTTTTGCAGTTGTTTGGTGTAATTTTGTAGAACTAATTCATTGATTTCAAAGTCTTCAAAGTACTTCTTCCAACAGTAATGGTGAGACTGGTAGACAACAGTACAAAAATCTATGTCCTTGTGCCACTCTAGAGAGTAGGATCACATAGTACTTTTGTACTTTATACTCACCATCACACGCAATCTCTTAGTCTTGATCTTCATCTTCTATGTTTTCATAGGCTTCTGATTTGTTTGTTGATGAAGCATGTTGTAGAAGGATCATAACTATGTATCTTCAAAACTTAAGTCTTTAGAGCCTTTCAGGGCTTGTTCAGAGAATCATTTCCTTCAGTGTAAGACCCTAAAAATCTAGATTAATTATTTAATTAATTTAATGTGAATATTGGTGATTCTTGGTGAATATATGAATTATGGTGAGTTATGTGATGCATGATGATGCAATGGTGAATACAATGTTACGAGTAGTGCCGGAATAAGAGCAATATGGAGATTTAATTAGTTTATAATTATTTAGAGCTTAAATAATTATCTGGGGTTAATTGGATTTAATAATAATAATATTTAAAATTATTACTTATAATAATATGAGGAGAATAACAGTGTAAGATAAGAAGGGCAAGATGGTAACGTTGTGTTGAACAAGTCAGGGTAAAATTGGGATTATGATTTAGGGGTCCAAGGGCTATTCTAGTCAAAATGGGAAAAGAGAGTGAGATCGATCATTTTTGGAATGATCGTACTTTTAGAAGTTGAAACAAGGAAGGGAGAACAAGAAAGAGAGGGATAATCAATTCTTGGAGCTTAGAAAATCTTCAATCCAAGGTAAGGGTGAGGTTATGACTCTATAAGGAAATACATAGTGATGGATTGTGGTAGTTTTAGGACTCATAGTTGTATGCTTCTTGTGATGTCCAATTTGGGTTATTGTTATTCTCTATGACTATCATCCTTTTGTGTTCTTGAGATGATTGACTCTGTCAGTGTCAATATTTGCAATAATATGTGCAATTGGGGAATTGATTGTTGAAATTGTAACTTTGATGAAATTGATCATGGTGAATGACATGTGTTGTGGTATACTGAAGTTGGGATCTCAAATTGTGCATTCTATGATGTTTGAGGTTGTTTGGATAGGTGAAAAGTGATTTTTGCACTTAAAACAGCAGAAAAACTGATTATGGATAGTGAAAGTCGATTACCCCTTTTTGGGAAATAGATTTCTAGTTCAAAATTTGCAAAAAAAAAAGGCTACTAGAGGGTGGAAATCAATTTCCCATTTTGGGGTAATCGATTTCCTAAAGCTGACAATATTTTTCAAAAACTTGTAAAATTCATAACTTTTGACTCAGGTGTTCATTTTACGCGCCGTTTGGACCGTTGAAAAACTAAAAACATTTTCTACAATATGATACTAATTTTGATAACAGTAGGTGAATTATTTTTAGGTTGGAGACTTATGCCTTGAGTGTTAGTGTCAGATGAATTATGAAGTATACGGTGATGATTGAACATAGTTACCTTATGTGAATGATGTATGGATGAATTGCATATTATATGTGAATGATGTATAGATGAATGGCACATTTTATTGCATGATTATGACGATGATGATGGTGTTGTTTCCACAGATTGGCTTTACGTTGAGGGCTTATGCCCTACAATTGCATAATCATATTATTGCATGTTGCAAGCATGCATCGTTGAGGGCTTATGCTCTATTGTTGGCCTGGATTGGTAAATTGTTGAGGGCTTATACCCTATTGTTTTCCTATTTGGTATTTTTGATAGGGCTTATTCCTTGATGATACCATATGCATTTCAGTCGGTGTCTGTCATTGCATGGCATGGTCGATTTGTTGATGTTGTAGTATGAAGATGATGTGTTTATATACGATTAATATGTTTTTTGTGATTATGTTGTTGATGCATAAGTGTGATATGTGGAATGTATAACTATGCATAATAAATCATTAGTTTCTAATTATTATATGTTCTTTTATATTGTTATGATATCCCACTCTTCTGTTGGAATCATGCTTTCTACGATATCGTGCAGATAGTCAGAAGTAGTCCAAGGATGATGAGTTTTAGAAGACGTTGCTCTTCATGTTTATTTCGAGTCGGCGTCGTGCTCTAATACGTAAAACTGAGGATGGGGATAAACGCTTGATTTATATTTTGTTATTTGATGTATGTTTGGAGTTGTGTGAACTCTTCATTTATTTAAATAATGTTGTTGATATTGGATGGGAATTATCTTAATAACATGTTGGAATTCCTTTTTCCGATGCTTAATGAAATGAAGTTTAAATTATTAAGTTTGGCTTATCCGTTAAAAGGTATTATGTATCCCTTTTACAATTTATGAGCAAATTATGATGGTTTTGAGAAAGTGTAGCATCCTAAATGCATGTTGATTCAATTTTGAAAGAAAAAAATTACTCTGATTTAAATTAAATATTTGTCGGGAGATTTAGGGTGTTACATTCAGAGACTTCATCACTTGGTCTTCAGAAGAATGTCTTCAGATCTTCAGAACTTGGAACAACAGAAGTAAAACTTTAGAAGGCCTCCAAGGCTTCCTTGTACAAGTAACGATCAAAAGCTCTTTTAATAACGTTCCTTAGAACTATTGCATAAAACGCATTCCTTAATCTTGAATTAACTTGTAACGAACCAAAGGTGTTGTTCTAGAGTGTTGAGTTCAGAACTTGATGACATCACACGCCTTCTTACTAGAGTTATAACCTGTATAGCAAAAGCCACACACTAGACATAAACTGTTAGAGTACATAATTTTTCTCAAAGATAACATCTAAAGTTATCATCAAAACATAAGGCTAGATATAGAACCAATGTTGTCTACCCCTTTTTGATGATGACAAAACCATGTATATTGATAGAACAATTCATACAGGATAATCACCATGGAACGCAAATTTAGTAAATCTAACCAGGTCCCCCTGAATCTGTTAATACTCAAAATTCCATTAAAGGTTGTTCAGAGAATCCCCCTTATCCCAAGACTTACAAAATTAATTTTGCATTACACAAGGTAAATACTTCTCCATTGACTTCTCATCATAGTCTGACTAGAAATACATGGTCTTCATCTCATAACCTGGATTGCTATCAGAACACTATGAGGCATTAGAATTTGTTTAGTCACTGTCTTGATGACTCTCACCAAACATCATAACTAATACATTGGTTCTTCCAAAAACTATAATCATGCCACCAGAAGGTGCACATCATCATTTCATCATAAAGTTCAGCACCAGAACCCTTTCCTGACTGACAATGTCTTTCGAACTTGTCTTCTGACCATGTCTCAAACATGTCTTAAACCATGTCTTTTGGACCATGTCTTCAGACCATGTCTTTGACCATATTTTAGATTGTATTAGACAATCTCTTCCAAACATGTCTTAGACCATGTCTTCCAAACATGTCTTAGAACATGTCTTCTAAACATGTCTTAGACCATGTCTTTCGAGCATGTTATAGATCATGTCTTAGACCATGTCTTCTGAACATGTCTTAGACCATGTCTTCCAAACATGTCTTAGACCATGTCTTCTGAACATGTCTTTAGACCATGTCATCTGACCATGTCTTCAGAAGGTTCACAACCTCTAAATACAACTTGGTTAACAATAGACTTACTATACTTCCAGAAAGTTCACAACTTCTGAAGTATCAGAATCTCGTAAAGCGTAACCTGGTTACAAAACTCTAAGAAAGCTTACAACTTCTAAATAGTCTCGTGATAGCGAAGAAAATATTTCCAAAGAACGCGTTGACATTCTTTCAGATAGTTCACAACTTCTTAAATG